AGAGTTGTTACATACGTATCTTGGAAGGAACTCCGACGAATGTTTATTTACCGGACAATATACCAATTTTCGTAGGACGCTCGCCAGAAACCGGCATCACAGACACCAAATGTTCGCGACAACAAGGTCGCATAATCCTCTCAGATTCCCTCTTTATCCGCATCGTTTACAAATCGAAGATAAAGAACTCACTACACGTGACACTCAAACTTTATGTTTAAAGTAAAAGAGATTACATTGGCAGAATATGAATAAGAATGTTAAATAATTTGTTCTTGATGCTAGATTTATCTTTTAAAAGAGTGATAATCTGCAGAGAGGTTAAGTTTAATTCTTCGATGTGCTCAATGTATTTGACGTAAGCAGTTCGAAATATGAATATTAGACCATATAGTCTTGCAGAATAAAATCAAGAAATTTGGCTTTAAATTAACACAGAAATAAAAATAATAAGAAGTCGATTAAATAATTAAAATAGTGATAAGTATATGAAAAATTAATGTTATAGCAATTAATTTTTTACAACGTGAATAATTTTGTTCAAGACATTGATTAGTATTATAAAAAATTTAAATAAGTATTCTTACATGGAAGTCTCTTAAATGAATTATTAAGATTTAAATGGAAAAAATGTTTACTAATAATAGGAAAAAGGGCTACAAGCCACAAATTTGTTATTAACTAATATACGTAATCCCCCCAAAATATTTATATTTTAAACTGTTGTTTCATTTTCATTTTGTTTAAAATCTCTCAGTAAGTTTTAAATTTTACATCTTTATCTAATGTTTAACTTTTATATTACATATACCACTTTCAATAATTATTTAACATTGATAATAAACCAATGTAGGTTCAAACATTTATTATTATATAAATTTTACTGTTTATTAATTCTAGTAGTAAAATATTTAGCTTTGGCTCATAGACCTTTAATTTATTTAGTTTTGTTTTAAATGGAGTAAAGGAGTTAAAGATATTTGGAGATTATTTAATACAACTTTCTCAATTTACTTTTGTAAGTTATTAGCACAAATGAATACATTAATCTATTTTCGACAGTTCGTTTATGTGCAAACTATGCGGAGGCTATCGTCACAGTTCAACAAATCGGCCCACACGCTTGTGGCTTTAATGGCTTTAAAACTCAAAACGGTGTAAAATTTGTGGCCAGACACAATGATCGCTTGGAGCTGCTCTATGGCAAGCATGTTTTCGAAATAGAGTTCAATCCACCTCCAAGTGTGACCAACTTTGCATCAAGGAAAAGATTGTTTGAATCAGAGACAGAAGAAACTGAGGGTAAAACAAAAATGTTGAAGCTTAATAGATGTTCTGATAATCATTCTGAAGAATCTGAGAATGACAGAGAAGAGGAAGAGAGATCTTTATCTTTGAATGATGTTTATACCAATCAGAAAACATTTAGCACTGGTTCTAGCACATCCTCTGAGCAGAGCACTGAAAGCTCAAATACATCTGCAAAATGGGACAGTGTGGATAATGGAAAATTATTAATTTATACAGCACAATCTGTTCAAAATCAAGCAAAAGTAATTTTAATTGTCAATTATGTACAAGTTTTATTCAATATATGCTTGAATAATACAATAAAAAAAATATAGTGACTTTTTATAAGTTACATATATATATTATATATATATGTATAATTTTTTAAAAATAAGATTTTTATAAAATACCAATGTTAAAAATGAATTTTGTCTTTAGGTGGCTGCATATGATATGGATGGTACTTTAATAAAAACTAAATCTGGTTTAGTGTTTCCAAAAGACTGTAACGATTGGCAGTTGCTCTATCCTGATGTACCTGGAAAATTAAAGCAGCTTCATACAAACGAATACAAAATAGTGATCTTTACAAACCAAGCAGGCCTTAGCACTGGCAAATTCAAGATTAGTGATTTCAAAGGCAAGATCGAGAAAGTTGTACAAAAAATTGGCGTTCCAATTCAAGTATGATATAATCAGAATTATAATTTTCATATAAATTCGAATGTTTTCATTTTTGTATTATACTTTATAGGTTTTTATTGCTGTGGGAAGGAGCATTTATAGAAAGCCAACAATTGGTATGTGGGAATTACTGGAAAAAGAGGTACATAAAATCTTTTTAAATATATAATATAATATTAAATATTATGAATGTCCCCCAGAATATTTATAAAGAAAATTAAAATATAAAAGTCTCTTAAGGTTTTTTTTAAATATCTATATTAAAACCTTTCTTACATAAAATATATTTCTTATTATCAATTTATTTCTTATTTTATTAAGATGTAAGTAATTCTAAGTCGGTAAGTTCTTTGCAAACATTAATTAATTATAAATATTTTATTTGATTTCTTAATCTATCTATCTATCTAATTTTTATTTCCAATAATTCCATAACGTTTATGTAACTGCAGAAAAATGGAGGGATCACAATTGATAAGGCTAAATCATTTTATGTCGGTGATGCCGCTGGTCGACCAAAGAACTGGACCTCAGGGAAAAAGAAAGATCATTCGAGCGTGGATCGATTAATGGCATTGAATGTTGATGTCAAATTCGAAACGCCTGAAGAACATTTTTTAAAACGTAAAACAGCGCCTTATGAGTTACCTAAGTTCAACCCAAAAAATTTATTACAAACCGATATATGCAAACCTGCGGACGTGGAATTAACACTGAAACAACAAGAGGTAAAAAATAATAAACTTATGATATTAACTTTTGTATTTGAAGTTTTTTTAGAGGTCAAATATTAAAAGATTTAAAAGGATTATTTAATTAAATTTATTTGATTTGCAATAAATTTTTTTTCACACTTATTTTATTAACAGATGATACTTATGGTTGGCAGCCCGGCCTCTGGAAAATCACATTTTACAAAGAATCATCTAAAGGAATACGGATATGTCAACAGAGACACTTTAGGCAGCTGGCAGAAGTGTATTGCCGCAGTCGAGCAGTACTTGAATCAAAGAAAAAGCGTAGTTATAGACAATACTAATCCTGATAGAAATTCAAGAGAGAGATATGTAAAAATAGCTAAGAAGTGCAAAGTTCCGGTCAGATGTTTTGTCATGACGACAAGTCTAGAACATGCTAAACATAATAATAAGGTAATAATCTGAAATCATTATATGAAGGAATGTTCGGAAAGCTAAAGCTTCGGATTAAAATCAAATTATTACATTGTAGTTTCGTGAATTGACTGATCCAAGGCACACTCCAATCAACGAGATTATTATACACTCTTATATGTAAGTGGAATTTAGATATATATTTTATTTCATGCATTTTCCTAAAATTCTATATTATTATGATCATAATTTCGAGTTTTATTTTATCAGAATGCAAAGTTATATATATATATATATATATATTTCTGTTTATTTATTATCAAACCATTAGAACTTAATATGAACATAAAGAAAGTAAAAAATAGGTTAGCTAGTTTGGTAAAGAAAAGATTTCTTGTCATTCGATGAACACGTTTAAGGTCCTTGATTATTTGTTGTGCCATTTGAATTATGATAAAAGCGATAAATGACACGTTGAATTTTCTTACATGCTATTTGTAACTAAAGAGAATTTGGATAAAATAAAATAATAAAATTACTTTAAAACACTTGTAAAAATAGATCGAAATTACCCTTATTTCCCTATACCGACAATTAAATAATAAATAATCGTGAAATGAAAATATGCATAATAAGCTTTTACGATTATTTATTGACTATCTGAAATGGAGAAGGGGTGAGATAAGAATAATTTCGATCCATTTTTACAAGTATTTTAAAACTAAATAATTATTTTATTTTATCTAAATTCTCTGTATATAAATGGCACGCAAAAAACCTCAATGTGTTATTTTTGTTCATGATATCACAATTCAATATAGCTGTGGCGACTAGTCGGGAATTTTAATATCATTATCAGATCACTTTCGTATTCTGTGTGCAGGAAAACTTATGAACCGCCAACTTTGGAAGAAGGTTTTAAGGAAATAGTGGAAATCAATTTTGTTCCGAGTTTCCGTAATGAGCAGGATCGAAGGCTCTATGAGATGTATTTATTGGAAAATTGAATACTATAGATTACTTAAAAGTAATACTATAGATTACTTAAAAGTAATTAAATAAATTTTGCATGTAAATTGAAATTCACCATAGCATCTATTTTTAGTATAATAACGCTAGTAATAAAAATATTTATTAGATTATTCATTGCAATCTATCTCAACTACTTAATTGATTATTTATTTGATTTACAGGGTGTCTCAGAATTCACAGGAAATTAATTTTTTATACGACTATAAATTTTTAGTATATAAAGCCTTCATTTTTAATGACTCACAAGAAAATCACAAAATTTCTTGACTTCTTAAGAGTTTCAAGGAATAACTTTACATATTTTTCTTTATTTCCATTAGATTTGGGACACCCTGTTTAATCCTACGTTTCTGTGTGAATACATTATTAATTTATTGATGATTACAGAATTGTCTTTTTATTTGATATTTCTGCGTTTGATATCGATTCAAATATATAAAAGACACTTAATTATCATAACGTGTCTGTTGGCCACGATCTTTCCAACTTTTAAGATATTAACTAGCATAGAGAGTGTCAGAAGTTATTACATATTATAATAAAATAAGCGGCTGATAAGAATACTGCAAGAAAGAAGAGAGAAAGGAGATTGCGAGAGAGGAGCAACATTGAATTTTATATTCAATGAAGGTCACTGTTCTTTATCTGTAAATAGCAGGACTTTCTTCGAATTGGGACTAGACCCGCGACAGAGGGTTTTTCCCTCCTATTTTTCAGTCGCGATTGTTAGACATCCCCTAGTTCTTCGATAGAACGGTTGACTGTGCCACGTGATATAGCGAGAACGGCGCGACGCTCAATGCGGGCTCAGTCAGTGCCCGCGCAGACGTCGTCGCGACGAGTCGTCTTCCCCGTTTCGTTGCCTGTATGTGTGTATGCGTACGATCTCGTGCGTGATGAATTTGTGAACAGGAGCAAGGTGAAAAATCCATTCACGTGCGTGACAAGGAAGGCTAAAGTGAGTACGACACACGTTTTAACGGGGGGTTCAACCGGTCGTGCAACATCTGCGGTGCTTGAGAATGATGCGGTGGATCAGTCTCTGTCAGTCCTCAATCTTCGTGGAGTCTACCAAAAATAGTTCTGTCATTTCTTGCCGTACTACGATACATTCCTCTTCTATAAATTATGGAGCAATGATTCGTAGCGTAGTTTAACGGTATATATTATGTCCAATCGTGATATAAATTTAATAAAGCATATAAACCATTCTAAACTATTGAACTATAAATCTTGATTTTTAATATATATGTAAATTTAACTATTATTGATTTTTATAATCTGTAGTTTCATACGTTTATGTCTATAGACAAAATTGTTAAATTTTAATAAGAAGCAGATATTTATTCATCAGAAGATCCGAGTTTATAATTTGTCTCGACGCATGTTAGATGGCGATCTTTTTTTTCTAAATAAATAAACTTGTCTTTCACAATCTTCGGTATCTTATCTTTTAAATTTTAATATGATTTTAATTATGATGTGAAAATAAATGAGGGAGGATAGAACCGGTTATGTTAAAAGCAACATGTTTTTCTTTACTTTTATTAAATGGTTTCGGAGAAATCAACTCCAAATTTTTTGAGAAAATTATATACATCATTATATATATAATGATTAACGTTACTATAATAGTTTCTCTTATCAATCAATATTATTATTATTATTATTTATTTTATTATTGTTTCTATTATTATTACTATTAATATTACTGTAATGATTGTTATATTATATGTATTGTATAAAATGTTATTTTAGATACTATTAAAATTATACGGAAATTATTTGCACAAATAATTATGCAATTATTTAAGCATTAAAGATTTAGTTTGACCATTTAGGATCTTTGTTTCTAATTTGTTGTATAATGTTACTATTATTGCTACTATATCGGTTGGCAAATGTGTCATGTTTGAAACACCCGGTATATTAATTACGCTCGTACGCACAATCGTTGTTCGAGCGTAGCTTTTCTCTACTGGGTATCTTCCGTTCTTCGTGTATCTTACGTCACGACAAGATTACGTCATGAGTCGCTTTGCAAATGATATTCATGCTCGTCACAATGTGTCTTGAACGCGTCATCGTCCACCGAGTGTCTCAAAATATCCCGCACGATGCATGCCAATATCAGAACGAGAAATGCTCGCATTGTATAGTATTGAGCTTCTTTGGCACCTTTAGCACTTTGTAGTGTTAAAATACTTAACATTATGAAGACATCTGGATATTTTTATTTAAATCTTTTAATTTATATTTAAATTTGTTCCCGATTTTTGAATCGTAAAGGACTTTCGACCGTAATAACTCATAAATTTTTATAACGTTTAAAAATGAACAGAAGATGATTAAATAAATTACAAAGGTAAAAAAATTAAATTGAAATACATTTGTAGTTGAAGTTATAATTGTATTATTTCGAATGTAATAAATTTCATTCAATAATTTTCATGAAAAAAATAAATAAGTTTTTTTAAATAATAATTTAAAACAATAATCTCGATAATGAAGTTTTAATATCTTTGACACAAAAATGTTTCTGCGTCCTCGAGAAAATTATTTAAAAAATTATACAGCATGAAAAAGAAAAACAAAATTTGCTAAAATGCCTAAAAATTTAATTAGATAAAAAGCAGAAAACAAATTTGTTGGATTATTAAAATAAAATTATGTAGGACGCAAGTATGTACATGCTACATCATTATTTTAATGGTCTAACAAAATTTTATTCATCAAAACTATATGTTTTGCAAAATTAGTATATATATGATAAATATATCTAATTGCATGCAAATTTCCATGAATATACTTCGCAAAGAAACGATCGCGACATTTAAAACTTTCTTCGCAATTTTCCACTTGATACAAAAGTATTAACTATCATATGATAAAAACAAAAACCTCAAAAAAAAGAAATTTATTTTTGTCTAATTTGCCTGTGTTTATTCTGTATCTATATTTTTTTGAAATAATAAAATGCTATCAATAAAAAAAAATGCATTTTAAGATGGTTTTAAGATCCTAAGACTTTCGAAATGTTCAAAATTTAAAGCTCTTAGAAACTTGTTTTGATTTGAAACAAAATTTGTAATTTTTATTGTACAATGTATACGAAAAAAAAAAACAGTTTTGCCAAAATATCTAAAATTTAACTAGCCACAAATTTGAAAATAATTTTCTTAGATCATAAATCTAAATAATTATGTAGAGTGTTCAAATCGGCATTGCTCATTACGTGAGTGTCTTACAAATTGTTTTAATAGTTCAATAAAGTCATTTTCACAATTCTATATCTAGTTAAATTTTTAGATATCTCAGCAAACTCGTTCTTCTCGTGTACAATGAAAATCTCAAATCATTTCGAAGTTTCTGAGATTTTTTAATTTGGAACTGTTGGATGTCTTGACATAATCTCGAAAATGCATTTTTTTTCTAGCACTTTATTATTTCAATTCGTAAATTCTAATATATCAAAATGATTCTATGAGCTACTAAAACGCATTGGCCTTCACACATTAAAATCGCACGCGATCGTTTCTAAATGTCGATAAGCTGAGTTGTTTGCTATGCATATCGCTTCCGTCCAAGCTGTCTATCCACTTTATTATTCAGTGTCTATCATTTTTTTCTATACTCTTCTATGATTTTAGTTCTTTTTCCTGGATTCTCTCGCAATTCTTATATAGATGCGGAAAGAATTAATGAAAACAATTGCCTTGATTCGTGAGAACTCGATTGCAAGTGAGATTACAAAAGTTTTTGAAATTTTCGACTCCTCCAAAAACTTCAGATTCATACATTCATATTTCCTAATTCTTTTTCTTTATATAAGGCTCCTTATTTCATTACATTTTACTGTTTTAAACAATTTTTTTATCATTTCAAAATTTTACTCGTTTTGGAATTAAAAATTAATTATTTATCTTCCTCTCCAGCAAACAGCATTTTTATAATGGGTGAACATTCAAATATACAAGAGAAAAAAATTTTGGAAAATTGTGGAACTGTTTTCCTTAATTACCGAGAAAAATCGTGAATGCATATTTTTGCCACTGCAGAGGCTCGTTTAGCATGAAACGCAATGATTCATGATCGGACTGTATGTTCCAGTAAAGATTACGTATCGTGCGTCGCTGAACAATTGACCTACGTCTCACGAGTTAGGCTTCAGTGTAGAGTTATTAACACACAACGCGCCTTTGTCTTGATGCGTTTAATTTTTTCTTAATTGTCTTTTTAACGATGCTGCTGTACAAAGTTCATTCGATTCTGATAATGATACGTTAATCAAAAGGTCATCTTTGCTGTAATACTGAAATATGTGGCATCTTAGTGATAAAATTTTGAGACTCATTGCACTTTGTATAAATTAATGACATAATTTGAAATAATCGACAAATACAAATTTTAGTAAACGCGAATGAATTAAAATGGATTGAAAGTAATCCATCCAAATGTAGGTACATTTTAAATGGGAAAACTTTTTTTGAATTTAATTGGATTCATTTGGAATGAAAAACTGCATATCCTATCCAGAATTTTTAATTGAACAATATTTACGATTTATTATTAAAAATTAAACTTATTATTTTTAGATTGAAAGGCATAGAAAATGGGCTTTATGCAATTCTTACATAAATGAATACAAAAGCATTAAACATTGAAATGAATTTTCAGAAGTACGCGTTCGCAAATAAATCTTTTTACTTAACAACACTAAATAAAAAATTTTTATTAAAAATATTTTAATTAATTTGCTTTTATTGAAATAAAACTAATTCGATTATTTTTGAAATAAACAATAGAAAATAAATAGGCTACGAATCTAAGCTATAGGATGTAAGGTGCTCTAATATAAACAAAATGTAAAATACAGAACTTACAAACGTTTCTATTGGGTCATCAGCAATGTAAATAATATTTAAACTTAATTTAAATTTAATAAGTACGGCTTTTAAATTAATTTTATTGTGTAATTAATATTAAATTTATCATTGTGAAGTTTGATATTGCAAATTTATTTTATTTCTTTAACATTTTATAATATACATCTAATTTGTATATAGTTTATAATTTATATTTATGTAGATATAAATATAAATTATATAAAAATATATAAATATGAATTTAATCTGGAAGATTTAAAATACGATAAGTACTACCATATGTCAACACGTATCCGTTGACATTTCTCATGTTTGTTATGTTCATTTATGTTTTGCTTCCAGTAGCGTCAAATAACGTCTACACAGTTTATAAACGGTTCGTTCGGATTAAACAGTGTATTTGGATATTAAATCAATTTTGTCAACGTACAACTTTCGACACCGTTCTGTTATGACATACAGTTCTTAACGTTTTTGTAATGTAAAAAATGCATATTTATGACTTGTATTTATTTTATACGACAATCTTCTCGTTCAAGATAATCGATGTTTTAAGCGAATCGTATTGATTCTCTGGAATTACCAATTCATGATCCGAGAAGGATCATAAATTTTAACAGTATTTCTTAGTAATTCAGAGGTGTGCGAAAAGAATTGGTCGCTCACATGCAAAAATATGATAATTTTGCTGCTTCAGAATAGTATATGTATTGCTGATACTTATATATGTCAGAAGAGACAAAAAAGGAATCAAACTAGATATAAATCGTACTTTGTTTTCCCCTAATTTTAATTTTTAAAACCAAGAAAAAAGATAAAGAATAAATTATTCTGTAACATTCATTTCTATTTCTATCAAAATTATCGTTTACTTCTATCAATGTTGAACTCGTTTATTATAAATCAATAATAAAATTAATTGTTATTGATAGAAATGTGGACATAAAAAGTTAAAGTTAGTCTATATTAATGGAAATAAACAATAGAGGAAAATAATTTTGAAGAAAACTCTATTAAGCAAACTACGATTTCGTTCCATTTGTGATATGTTGGTAAAAATTTTCTTTAGAGT